ACCAAGAGGAAAGGAAAGAATTATATATGTAGAATTTAAATATTAAAAATCATTAAACTAAATAACATATGAACAAAAACATAACCTACTAATTCGGAGTGTAAACGATGGCCAAGAGTGCAGTAACGTGTTCCCGCCAAATACGAGGGGTGAGAGCAGAACCGCGTAAAATTAATTGCGATACGATATTAAGAAAATTATATATATATATATACTTTTAAAAATCATAAAAATAATAACCATATAAAAATTAGTGTAAAAATATAAATGAAACGCAAAAAAATATATATTATTAAAATTTAATAAGCATGTGGCGCCATCTATTTAATAATTGTAGAATAAATTAGATATTGTATAAATTTAAAAAATCATTACAAAACATAATAACAGTAAATAATTACAGTAATACAAATTGTGTCATTAAAAACCATTATAAATATAATTACAAAGAAAGTTAGCAGGATATCCATGTTCAATACAGTGATTAAAATTTTTTTTTAAGATTTAAAAAAATATTAGCTTTATCGCTAACTAATACATTATTACGATAAATATAGTTAAAAATAATATTTCTATATATAGATATTGATAAATTGGAATTCCAGTAAGGCACTTTGATGATATTAAAATTAAAGGCATCTCTTTTATGATAAATATTACTATGTAGTTTCAAATCCTTAATATACAGTGTTACATCTAGGTAATTTGTTTTCATTGGATTATTATTAATTTTAATTAAGTTTAAGTAAGACGGATAAATATTAATAATGGGATTTAATTTATCATTTTTACCAAAAAAAATTAAATCATCAATATATCTAAAAATGTAGTAGTCATTATTAATAATATAATTATATTCATAAAAATGTAAATAAAGATTAGCCAAACTATTACTAGCTGGGCCCCCTTGTGGGAGTCCTTTCTCTTGTTTATATAAAGAACCATTAAAAAAAATTGATGTAATTTTCTTTTAAGACAAAATCTATGAGAGTTTTAAATTTGTTAAAATTAATATTAAGGTTATACATACTGTGGTTTTCTAAAATTACTTTAATAATATCATATATATCAATGGAATTGAAAAGATCTTCAAAGTCATAACTATGAACTGAATAAATATTTCTATTATTAAAAAAATCTATAATCTCTTTACTATTTTTAATTATAGCTTTATTACATTGCTGATTAATAAAGTTTTGTATAATATTATGAAGTAATTTGCCTGCAGTAGTAATATATGTTCTAAAACCATTTGTCACAGTTCTAAATTTAACCGGACTTTTATGGAATTTTGGAGTTAAAAATATATATGGATACTTTTTTAATTTTAGGAATACAAAAACATAATTTTTTATAAATAGCAATAATACGATTACTAATTTCATTATGTGACAAATCTAATTTTTTAAAAGAACCATTATTTATTGAAAGTGATCATAAAGAATATTATAATATAAATACTTACAAATCACAGCATATATATAGTTACCAGGTACTTTATCAATGTAAACTATGATAAAATTCTTTTGTAATTCATAAATTTTCTGTTTTATATCTTTAAAAGTAGTTTCATATTGAGAATGGTAACTAAAATTCATAAGGTCTTTTAAAATATTGTACTTATACTCATCAAATACCTCAATAGGTAGTCCAAATTTAATTGCAGATTTTCTAATAAAATTATCTATATCTTTAATAATTTGTTTTTTAACAGTATTGTTATTATTAGAAACATTTGATCTAAAACTAGTGCCTTTACTCATTATATCTTTTAAAATTGTATCATTGATTACGTCTATGTTGCCAGTAACTACATGTTTATGATGACCATCAATAAAGTTATTATAGTTTTTACATAAACAATCTTCTATATTAATAGAGGGCGAACTATTGTTGTAATTAAAGATAAATCTGCCCATCGTTTTGTTATATTTAGATGCTTTCTTTACAACCACCTTTCTAACCGGAAAAAGTGACAAATGTCTATTAAATACATTAGAAAAGTTAGTTTTGTCAAAAGTTTTATTCATGAATAATAAAGTGCAGTACTCTGTAACATATTCATTAATTTTTTCTCAACATTAATATTGAATTTATTAACTAGATAGTTAAGAATGTCTTTAATAATGTGTACTGCATGACAAACCTTTAAGGAATCATTATTTAAGGTTTCATATAACAATGCAATTTCATGTTTATTAAGACCAAACATGAAGTATTTGATCTTCTTGATATTAAAGTTTTTTTCAAAATCATCAATAAGAACTCTAATATTGTCATTTAATGAATTTTTATCTCTATTTTTCCTTTTAGTTCTATTACTTCTAGATTTTCTTTTCGAATTATTGTTTAATTTATTGGCATTATAAAAAATTCTTTTATTATTATTCTGTAACATTATTTGCAAAGTATTTTTAGCAAAATACAAAACATTAAGGCCATATGGATAGATTGTATTAAAACTCCTAATAAAGTGATTTTCCCACCATAATCTGTGCTTAGTAATTGGAGTAATTTTAATGATAGACAGTTCAACATTTTTGAAATCATGCATATGAAAGTGTCTAAGTT